CAGCGCGGCGGGGGGAGAACCGCAAAGAGGGAACAGCCGCCAGCGGGGGGAGGCGGGGAAGGCGAAATCAACAGCGGAAATCAACGCGGTGAGGGCGGAAGTGACGCCACAAAGAGGTAAGGGGAGCCGCCATGTTGAGTGAGGGCAAAAAAGGAATTTTCGGCGGGAAAAAAGGGAGCTCGCGGGATTTTGGGAGTTTTTTGAGGGGATTTTTTTAACCCACCGGGAAATTGAGAGGGAAAGGATTTATCGGGAATTATCGGGCGGTTTTTAAGTGGAACTTTAGGGGAAAATGGGAAAATTTTGGTGGGAGAGGCGCGGGATTTTTCAAGGAGGATTTTGCGGTGATTTCTTTCTGGATTTTGAGGGGATTTTTTAGAGGATTTCGAGACGATATCTGTGGTGATTTTTTTTTTTGGAATTCCAGAGAATTTTGAGGAGACTTTTGGGGGGTTTCGAGGAGGATTTTGTTGAGGCCCCACACGGATTTTTTCTGAGGGCGGGACGGGCCCGTCCCATAACTTTATTACAATTTTTTTCCCTTTATTTCACTCCGAGGGGCCCCGCTTTTATTTGGATTATTGAGGAGGGGTCCCTCAGCTCGATTCAGGTTGAAATCCCGATTTTTTTTGGGGAGGGGGGCTCCCTAAATTTATTTTTTTGGGGGGTCCCCGGCCGCTCCCTCCTCCTCTTCCAAGATGGCGTCCAGCATCTCCTCACACATCAGCAGCGCCCGCGCCACATGGAAACAGCCTGGAAAAACGGGGAAAAAACGGGGGAAAACGGGAAAAATCGGGAGAAATCCCAGCCCTGACCCTTCTCCCTGAAGAATCGGAGCCCCCAGACCCACCTTTGTAGGGTCCACCCTTGATGGAAAGCGCCACGGAGCCGTCGCGGTTCAGGTACCCGAACCACTCGCCGTGCTCGGGGTCGCGGAACTTGGGGGATTTTTGGGGGGATTTGGGGGATTTTTGGGGAATTTGGGGAGGGGTGAGCCCCCCCTCCTTCTTAAAGTGGGACCCCCTCCCTCAAAAAGGCGAAATTCCCACTCAAAACCCCCAGGGACCCCTCTAGGATCCCCTCTAAAATCTCTCCAAGACTCAGAATCCCCCCCAAATTGGCCCCAAATATCACCAAAACCCCCCAAAATATTTCCAAATCCCACAAAATCGCCCAAAATCCCCTCAAAGTATCCTCAAATCCCCACAAAATCTCCCCAAATCCCCTCAAGATTCCCCCAAATTCTCCCAAAATGCCACCAAATTCCCCAGAATATCCCACAATCCCCTCAAAATCCCCTCAAATCCCAAATTTCCCCCAGTCTCCTCAAAATCTCTCCAAAATACCCCAAAACTCCTCCAAAAATCCCCCTCAAATCCCTCAAAACTCCCCAAAATATCCCGAAATTTCCCAAAATTCCCTCAAAATCCCACCAAATTCCCCAGAATATCCCCAGAATCCCCTCAAATCCCTCAAAACTCCCCAAAATATCCCAAAATTCTCCCAAAATTCTCCCAAAATTCCCTCAAAATCCCACCAAATTCCCCAGAATCCCCTCAAATCCCTCAAAACTCCCCAAAATATCTCCAAATCCCCCAAATTTCCCCAAATCTCTCCAAACCCCCCAATTCCTCACCTTGTCGAAGGTGAACTGGGCCAGCTGGAGGAACTGGGAGACCAAACTGGGCCGGGGCTGGAAGCGGTGGGCGGCCAGGAGGGCAACCATGGCCTCGGCGTGGGGCCACCAGAGCTTCATGGACCACTCCAGCTGGGTTTGGGGAGAAAAAACGGGAATTTGGGAAAAAAAACCCGGGGAAATGGAGAAAAAACGGGGGTGAAATGGGGAAAATTGAGGGGAAAATGGGGAAAATGGGGAAAAATGGGGAAAAATGGGGAAAAAATGGGGGTGAGGGTGGTGATGTGAGGCCACCAGAGCTTCATGGACCACTCCAGCTGGATTTGGGGAGAAAAAACGGGAATTTGGGAAAAAAAACCCGGGGAAATGGATTAAAAACGGGGGTGAAATGGGGAAAATTGAGGGAAAAATGGGGAAAATTGAGGGAAAAATGGGGAAAATTGGGGAAAAATGGGGAAAAATGGGGGTGAGGGTGGTGGTGTGAGGCCACCAGAGCTTCATGGAAAACTTCAGATGGGAATTGGGGAGAAAAAACGGGAATTTTGGGAAAAAAACAGGGAGAAACAGAGAAAAAACGGGGGTGAAATGGGGAAAATTGAGGGAAAAATGGGGAAAATTGAGGGAAAAATGGGGAAAAAATGGGGTGATGTGAGGCCAGCAGAGCTTCATGGACCACTCCAGCTGGATTTGGGGAGAAAAAATGGGAATTTGGGAAAAAGAATGGGGAAAAACGGAGAAAAACGGGGGTGAAATGGGGAAAATTGAGGGGAAAATGGGGAAAAAAGGGGAAAAATGGGGAAAAATTGGGGTGATGTGAGGCCAGCAGAGGTTCAGGGAAAACTCCAGCTGGGAATTGGGGAGAAAAATGGGGAAAGAATGGGGAAAATTGAGAGGAAATGGGGATTTTGGGATACTCGGGAGTTTCTGAGTGGGATTTTGGTGTTCCTGGGTGGAATTTTGGGCTCTCAGGATGTGATTTTGGTGTCCCAGGTGTGATTTTGAGGTGTCCCAGGTGTGATTTTGAGGTGTCCCAGGTGTGATTTTGGTGTCCCAGGATGGAATTTTGGGTTCCCAGGTGAATTTTGGGTTCCCGGGTGTGATTTTTGGGGTTTCCCAGGTGATTTTTGGGGGTTCCCAGGTGAATTCTGGGGTGTCCCAGGTGATTTTTGGAGGTTCCCAGGTGTGATTTTTGGGGTTCCCAGGTGATTTTTGGGGTTCCCAGGTGAATTCTGGGTTCCCAGGTGTGATTTTTGGGGTGTCCCAGGTGTGATTTTTGGGGTTACCTGCGTGGGGCAGTGCCCATCAGCGTCGAGGAAGTAGAAGAGCCCCCCGTGCTGGGGGTCCCAGCCCCATTTCAGGGGTCCCTCCACCAGCGCAGCCACGGCCCGAGCCCCCAAATCCGCGTCCCCCCTGCGCCCCGCGAACTCCAGCAGCAGCCAGGCGGCCTCCAGGGCGTGTCCTGCACCCCAAAAACACCCAAAAACACCCCAAAAACACCCCAAAACACTCAAAAAACCCAAAAAAACCACCCAAAAACACCCCAAAACATTCAAAGAACACTCAAAAACACCTAAAAAACACCCCAAAAACACCCCAAAACACTCAAAAACCACTCAAAAACACCCCAAAAACACCCCAAAAACACCCCAAAACACTCAAAAAACACTCAAAAACACCCCAAAAACACCCCAAAACCAACCAAAACACCCCAAAAACCCGAAAAAACATACAAAAGCACCCCAAAAACCGCTCAAAAAACACACAAAAACACCCCAAAAACACCCCAAAATACAGAAACACCCAAAAAAACCCAAAAACACCCTAAAACCACACAAGAACTCCTAAAAACACTCAAAAAAAAAAAAATCCCATTTTTTCCCCCAAAAATCCAAATTTCCCCCTCAAAAAAAATCCAAATTTCTCCCCAAAAAAATCCAAATTTCCCCCCAAAAAAATCCAAATTTCTCCCCCAAAAAATCCAAATTTCTCCCCCAAAAAAATCCAAATTTCTCCCTCAAAAAAATCCAAATTTCTCCCCAAAAAAATCCAAATTTCTCCCCAAAAAAATCCAAATTTCTCCCCCAAAAAATCCAAATTTCCCCCCAAAAAAATCCAAATTTCTACCCAAAAAAAATCCAAATTTCTCCCCAAAAAATCCAAATTTCTCCCCAAAAAAATCCAAATTTCCCCCCCAAAAAAAATCCAAATTTCTCCCCAAAAATTCCAAATTTCTCCCCAAAAAAATCCAAATTTCCCCCCCAAAAAAATCCAAATTTCTCCCCAAAAAAAATCCAAATTTCTCCCCAAAAAAAATCCAAATTTCTCCCCAAAAATCCCCATTTTTACCCCCAAAAAATCCGAATTTCCCCCCAAAATCCCCATTTTCCCCCCCAAAATTCCCATTTTTCCCCCCAAAAATTCCAAATTTCTCCCCAAAATCCCCTTTTTCCCCCCAGATTCCCACCCTGACCCCCCAAAATCCAGGATTTCTCCCCAAATCTGGGGTCCCTGCCCCCCTTACCGGGGTTCATGAGGCGCCCGAGGCTCCCCGGCAGCTGCTCCCCCTCGGGGCTGACGTTCTCCAGCACCACCGAGTCCCCCCGCTGAGCCCCCAAATGTGGGGGGACCCCCGTCAGGAACCCCCAATTTGGGGTGGGGGGACACGGGTGAGAGAGGGGAGCCAAAATTTAGGGGGGATTTTGGGGGTCCCGGGGGGATTTGGGGTGAATTTGGGGGTCCTGGGGGGATTTTAGGGTGAATTTGGGGGTCCTGGGGAGGTTTTGGGGTAAATTTGGGGGTCCCAGGGGGGATTTTGGGGTAAATTTCGGGGTCCCAGAGGGGATTTTAGGGTGAATTTGGGGGTCCTGGGGAGGTTTTGGGGTAAATTTGGGGGTCCCAGGGGAATTTGGGGGTCC